TGCAAGAAAAGGCTGAGAGAATTGGGATGGTTCAGCCTGGAAAAGAGAAAACTTTGAGGCTACCTAATTGTGGCCTTCCAGTACCTGAAGGGAGTCCACAAGAAAGTAGGAGAGATACATTTTGCCAGGACATGTAGTGACAGAACAAGGGGGAATGGGTTCAGACTGAAAGGCAGTAGATTTAGGTTAGATATTATAAAGAATTTTTTTACTGTGAGGATGGTGAGGCACTAGAAAAAATTGGCCAGAAATGCTGTGGGTGCCCCATCCATGGAAGTGTTGAAGGCCAGCTTGGATGGACCTCTGAGCAACCTGATCTAATGATGTGTGTCCCAGCCCATCACAAATGGAGTTGGAACAAGATGATCTTTAAGGTTCCTTCCAACCTATGATTCTATGATTCTGTGATTTAATGAGTGGTACCAGAGCAAGAAGCTCATTGTGGAAGAAGAGCAAGTACACTTTTAACCAATTAGCATAATTTCAATTTATATTTAACTTAACCCTGGCAAAATCAAAGATTCTGGAAGTTAGTACTTAATCTCCATGGTCCAAAAGGTTTGAATATTCATCCAGACTTCAAAATGATGCTGTTTTTATTAAAATTAAAATATTTACTCCTAGCAGGCCCCAAACATACTTATCTATTCTTTCTAGCAGGTACTAACATCTCTATTGCACCTCCACTTGTCCCAGCAGGATGATATTTGCTTTTTCCAACATGCTCATCTTAATTCCCTCTGACTTTGAGAAGTCTTCATGTATGCAGAGCAGATGAAAACTGCTCAGTTTATATCTCCTAATTATCCTTGTATTACCCTTGTTGAGTGCCTGGGGAAGTGTGTTTTCTTCTCAAGGAAAAACATGTTCATTCAGTATTTGCTATTAGTATGAAATTAGCTCAAGGGCAATCTTCAGTCATTCACACTTTGGGGGCAAGAGAAAGACAAGCAGACCCTTAGCCTTTTCTCCTTCCCTTCCAAGACATATCAAAATGAAAATAAGGGACTGATGGCAGAAGAATTGTTGAAATTTATGCATCCCTTTGGATATTTGGCACATGAAAGGTCTTTGCTGAATTAACTTCGTATAGGTTTAAGGGTGTAATGATATAAATATATATGCAGGATAAAGTTTTTTAACCATCTTTCTAGTCCAGGGGCAGGAATCCTACATAAGTTTGGGGGGTTTTGCTACTGACTCACAACGTCTATCATCATAAACCAGCACATGAAGACACTTGTAATTTTATTTTTAAAAATATGGGCCTTGGATACTCTAACATCTGTGTTCTGTGGCAGTCCTTATTCTAAATAGTTCCAGTTTCAGATTGTTCATCATTTCACAGCAATCAGATTAAGATACTGTTACCATTACCAGCTGCTGGACTCTGTCTTCCACACAGGAAACTGTTTCTCATAACAGGGCTCTTTTTTTTTTTGGATGCTTCACCTCATATTAACAACATTTGGCTTGAAAAATGCAGGATCTGTAAAATATTGGACTTAGAAAAGTGCAGCATCATCAGTATGACTGATGGTAGTTCAAACAACAATAAACCAGATTTTCTTCTGGTGGAGAAACTAATTCCAGGAATTGACTGATAATGGCTGATAATAGTGCTAAAGCTGTGAAAAAGCAGATAAGACTGCTACTGTTAAGTATGCATATACTGTTTTTAAAAGTCTGAAGTTTCACTTATCAAGTGCTGTGTTCTGTAAAGAACTAGCATATAAACATATTTTTGGCAGCCAGTAAACATTCCAGCTGGAATGCCAATACCATGTATCAGTGGAAAGTAAACAACTCTTGATTTACTATGTCTCAAATGGAGGAACTCAATCAAACACAAGCACCTAATCTCCACAAAAATTACCTTCATACCATGAAGCAAAGACTGCTTGTGATAGACATTTCATCTCTAAGACTGAAGGTCACAATTTGTCAATATTTGTGATAACTATTAGGTGGGCAGATGTCTGAGAGTTAAGAGGACAGAGTTACACAGGAATTGACTTTGCAGTTGATGGAAATTATTTGGGAAATCTTTATTTTAGTGTCATTGATTCCTTTTTCTATACTTCAATTTTATTACCTTTCTCTGCCAATTGAACATCTCATAACTTAGTTTTTCATTTTCTTTCCTACCAAATAATGGTGTATTAGTTCAGTTGTGAGTTTTTTTTAAAGCGTTATTTTCTATGCATCTATAAAATGCTTAAAACCACAAAATCTTATTCTATGTAGGCTTTTGAAGGACTGATAAAGAAAATATGTACAGATTGCAAGAGCTTTCAACAAATACCTGAAAACAAAGATTTGGGGTGATCAGCATAAGATACTTAAGCCAACATCGAAGCTAAGTGCCAACTCCAAAAATCATTTAAAAGGTGAACTGAAGGAGCCACATTTAAAAAAAGCCCTCAGCACTTCAATATACTCAAGGTAATTCCATACACCTTATGGACGTGAATCCCCTGTTAGCATGGCACATGACTTTGGCTAGGTTCTTAATCCTAATTATAGAACACACATATCGAGATCCTTTATGTAATCTTAAAAACTACTCCACACCCAAACTAAACTAATGTACCGTGAATGACCCAGAGCTCCTTCAACTCCATTAGAGGCAGCAGATGTGTGAGCAAGTGCAATGTCCCAAGTGCTGGGGGAAGAACAGGATACTTTGGCTGACAAGTCACTTTACTTCAAACTCGATGAATAAACAAAGCTGTTCCAAGTAGTAAGTACTAAGGATTCCTGTAATAGCTTGTATTTATAAACTGGAACACATTAAATGCTAAGAAAGAATGTGGACTATGCAACAACATAAAAATATAAATATTTATAATTTCTTTTAAATCACAAGGTTGTAATTTTCAAGGAAAGTTTGATGTAGGAGTCAGAGAAATAAGGACATCAGAAAAGGTCTTAATTTTAAAGAGTTTTGGTTTTATTAATGATTTTTCTCATAACTATCTTGTGTTTTCTAGAACAGAAGGCTACTTTTCTAAATATTTCCTGACAGAAATAATAGTTGAGGGGATTTATCACTGTGGAGCCATTAAAAATGGAAATAATGAAACTAAAAACATCATGCACAGTCACACACATGGCCCTCAGGGCACTTCAATGCTCACATGATTTCACTGAAGATAGCTAAATAGAGCCCTGGAATGGAATTCAAGACTTACATTTGCACCCTATTTTTCCACTGACCTATAAACCATGTAATTTAAACTTTTGGTACCTCCTGCTGCAGCTAAACCATTTATTCATGCATTCATGTATGCAGAATATCAGATGCAATTTGCAGCTGGTGTTCTCCAGAAAGGTAGTGTATTTATTAGGGTTTTTAGTCTGGATCATGTGTTATGGAAATTTAACTCTGAGACTATTCAGGGGAACTTTAAAACTCTGCAAGGAGACTTTGTCTTACATTTCTGTGTGGGATTGGTTTCGGTGCAGGTAAAGTGCCAGCAGTTGCAAAGAGCAGATGATTTCCAGAGCACAACTGGAAATGAGTAATGACCAGAGCTGAAAGAAATCAAATGTGCTCCTGTGATTGTCTTCACAGGAAGGATCAGGGTGTGGGAGATGACAGCTCCAGCTGGCAATCAGTGGAATATGTACCCTTAGCTATAACTTCTGCCACAGCTTTCTTTCCACCTCCCACCTACACCGGAGAGCAGGAAAAAACACAAGTTGGTCTCTCTTCCATTTTTAAAATGTATATGCCAATTTTACAGGCATGGGTTTAATTCTGTCTTTTGGTCTTAAGAAGAGCTGACCCACTAGCTAGGAAGCATTTCAATACTATAAATTTGTTTAATGAGAAAGGCAAATAAAATTCTACTTTTTCTTCTATTTTTGGTAAGAATTTTTTAGTGGACTGAGGGAAAGCTGACTTGAAAATTGGATGCTCTTCTCCCCAGTTCATCTCAAGTGACTAAAAATAGTTGGCCCTCTTCCTTATTAAAACAAAACAAAACAGAACAAAAGGAAAAAAAAAATGGAACCCTTGTTGACCAAAAGCAACACAGAAGTATTTGCTTGATGTGACTACTAGTGCTACTTCCTCCTACTAATTGTACCAGAGCTCTCACTATTACAACTAATGATTCTGTAAAAGTAGCATACAATACCACCATCATTACATTTACTAATTGCATCATTGAGAATAGTGAACACAAGTGTTTGAAGGTCACAAACTGTGACGTCAGTAGCATTTTAAGGGTGTGGCTTGGGACATATTTTGACTCACTATTTGTAAATGATCAGTAGAGTGACCAGTCCGAAACTGAGCTACTTCATCACAGCATAAGATGTTTACCATTTTTCAGAAATTTTTCTAATTATTTAAGCAGTATTCATACATTAGTAACAAAAATGCAAGGCTGGTTTCTTCCTATATGCACAGAATAGTTTACTTTTAAAACACAGTGTGACAAGCACAATATACACTACAGCGGTAGTACCACTGTATCTTTGCAAAATTGCCGACAGCTGTCAAGACTGCACCGCTCTAGATTATATGTTTGCCCATGGAAAACAATAAGCAGTAACTTGCACATATAACAGCCTGAGTTCTTTTGAAACACCTGAAAGTTAAAATGGGAAGCTGTTTATGTACTTCTAATCACAAGTTTTGGTCGAGTCTGTGAAAGAATTTGAGAGTGAAGACATTGTGACCGTTTCTTTAGTCCATCTGTGAATACTGATTTTTCACTGAAATCCTATCTGGGCACTCAGTGCTTTGGTGTTCCTGAGTTTTCAACCCAGATGTTAATGTGAGCAATTTCCGAGTTCCACCTCTACCTCAGCAGTTAATAAAACAGCAAGAGATCTTACGATACGTGTTTGAGAGAGCTACACTGGTTATTGACTGCGGAGTTATCATCAGATAGAAATGCTCAGACATAGATGGAAACCAAGATGAATAGGAAGTCTTAACTTTCAAATTCTTTTGTAATTTAGGAGAAAATAGCAACTTGACTTACAAAACCAGGCTGAAAGTTGTCTACTAGTCTTGCAAGTTGTGATCCCCTCACTCTTGTAGTCTCTACTGTGAAAAAATCGGTGAGACACATAGTCAAATCAGCAGCATTTAACATACAGCTAAAAATAAATAAAGGATATCCATTTTTTTCCCCCCATCTTTGTGGAGTGACACAACTTTCCAGTCACAACTCTACACAGCACTCAGACCAGAAAGGTAATCTATTTCAATAACCACATGACTACCTCAAACAGCAAACAATCTGATAAGATGAGGCAAGAAAAAAACATAAGTTGATGGAATAATGGTTCCCACTGGACATGCCTCTGATGGTAGAAGGGGAGCTTTGTGGGAGGGTACTCTGGCCTGCTCAGGGAAACATTGCCCATCATGAGATACTTGGGGAAAATAGCTGAACGTGGTAAGATAGAGCACAGAACAGAGGTAGGAGGAAAATGGACAAGTCACTGACACCTTTCACACAAATTTCTCAGACTACCCTCATCTATCTTAGGAACACATCCTACTGTAAATATGACATTCTACAGTAAATATGACTAATTCATGGTCCTCCATCAGTCAGCTACTTTGGTCATACTACCTTGCTTTTCCTCTTCTACGTAAGTGATTCAATGAAGAGCTTCCTGCACTCAAGTGCAAAGTCAACAAACAATTTTATGACAAACCTCCTCAGTACAGTATGTTTCATGCATCTCAGCAAACTGAATGGCAGTAGCACATACAGCTTCATTGATTTCACAACTGAGATACAAAAATTACATAGGACAAGGAAACACATACTTTAGGTGAGAACATTTATGCCTTATGCATTACTGCCTTTATGCCTGGAGGCTCGATCATCACTGAGTTGGCATTTGAGCAGGCAGCAGGATAGTGCTGCTCAGGGGATCTTAGCAAAAAGAGTTCAAGAGAACTGGAGAGCAATGAGATTTGAGACAGTGGTGGACTGCACAGAAAAGCAACCTGGAAATGTCTGTAACTTGGCTGAATGTGCAGAAGATATTTGAGTGGGCTTCACACTTTTGATCTGTCTACAGGGCAATCCAGTGGCAATACATCTTGTGTAAACATATCCCAAAAGCTTTAAGCACAAGTTCTTCACTGCTGCCAGCATAGCTGGGGCAACTTGAGCTCTGCATGGCCAGAAGGGACTCCAGGCCTAATACTGGAACCTCCATGTTACTGGAACCTCCATGTTCCTGCAGCTGTGCTAGATGGAGACAAGCTAGCAAGTGTAAAGCTGCCTCAGGAATACCAATAGCAACTGCACTTCACATCTGGATTTCAGGAAGTTCCAGACACAGTTTGCAGGGAGTTAACTAGTTCTTTTCAGGTTGTGTCCTAAAATAGCTATGTTCCTTAATGTGTGTCAAATCTAGCAAGAACTGGACATGGTGTGTGGACAGCTACAAACCTTTCTTCTGAAGCCTGCTTGTTTTATTACTTTTCACAATAATAAAGAATTTACTTGCTTCGATCTTCCTATATTTAAATGGTCACTTTGGTTATTCAGGTAATAATTAAATAATTTTAAGAACTCTTTTGTTCACTATTATTTTATTTCAAAAATATATATTATAAAGAAGCCAGGCCAAACTGTGTTCTTTCTTTTTTTACCCAAGAAGATATCTTAATCAATTTCAGCTGTGTTTACATACTTCTTGTCAGCATTAATTCTAGATTACAAGATAAATGAACAATGACTTTGAACTCCACAAGGCATTTATTTCAACACACTGGACTATTCTTATCATACTTTAAAAATCTTGAAAAACTAAACAAAACTGTACAGCCTCCTCTTGTTTATCCCAAATCAGTTCAATTTTGGTCACAATGTGACCAAATGCCTATGCAATGTCACGCAGCAGGATGCACTGGTGAGTTCTGAGATGTTGCAGATTAGCAGTAAGAACACACAAGAAACTCATACTGCTAACATTCTCTGAAACATATGTACTTGCAAATTTTGGCTTATTTGGAACAGTGAAAATAAACAGTTTCTATAACAGGACAGAAAACAATATGCAGCATACCTTGCTGCATAGTGTCAGGTAATTAAGCCCCTTGATTTAGTTTGACAATTTCTTTCATTCTGTTATCAAAAATTACTTTTAAACATATTACAGAAACCTTGTTTTCTGCATATCTTCGGAGTAAAACAGAATCTCTTCCCTGTGAGGATATGATATCATTTCAACCCATCACTGTCTCATGTCAAATAAATTCTAGAATTAATATGGGAAAGATAAACTTCTTTCACTTACTGCTGCTTGAGTAGCCATACCCAGCTACACCTTACTTTCAGGTGAGACCTGGTTTATTGGTCTGTCTGGAACTCTGAGAAAAGATGCTTCCTCCCAGAAAGATCCTACTAGCAATAGTATAGCTCCTATCCTACCAGACCAATACAGTGGAAAGATGATCTCTAGCTTTCCTCCAGGAAACTGTTTCTGTTTACATCTTTTGCAGGTGTGGAAGATACTTTTGATCTTCATAGAATAATACTTTATGGAACATTTTGCTACTCTTTGAGGCAAGCATCTGCATTAAAAATATCTGGTTTTCTTATAAGGCCTTCATGAAATTATTTCCATGAACAACTAATTATGTTTTAATTAAATAAATCAAAATTGATTAATTCTGCAGGCAAAATAATTCATCTTACTAGTAGACAGAATTGAAGCAAACTAATTTCACAACGTGAAACTCATTCCTGTCTCATTACCTCAAACATGAAATGGGCTTCAGGATGCCTATGACATCCTAGTTCCTGTAAGGTCAAAACTACCAACTTTTTGTTCTGTTTTGAAGCTGATAGTTCATAAGCATTTAAAAACACAACCTGGAAACAGAACCAACTCTGTCAAGTCAGACAAAAAGAGTTAAACCTGGACTTTCATTTCTAACATTCTATTTTGAAACAAGAACAAGGAAAAGGAACTCAATTTGTATGAAGGTCCATCAGAGACAATGAACTTGTCTTAAATTTTAATATCATCCATTCTAAGGTATTTGACTTTTTGTCCATGAAACACAGGCAAAAACTCTTCAGATATATCCTGATCAAGTGCATCACACTTAAACAGGCAGCTTGCCCTACATTTCTTTCATAGCTGCAAACATATGCCCACCTTTCATTTACATTCACAACCTCCCTAGCAAGCCATGAAACTCAAAAAAGGAGTAGAGAAGTGCAGTCACTGGTATGAATAAATGGCTGTAATGTTAAAGATATGGTTGTTTCCAGCAGCTGTTTCTAGCACCAGTCTTTGCTGTCTGTGGTACTCCTGGAAACTGCTGAGGGGTACATTGACCCAGTGGGCCTGCAAATTACTTCTCCCTGGAAGGCTGGAGGGGAGATGGTTAAGCTCATCTTTTTCTCACATTACTAGGTATCAAAAAGTCTTAAGTTTCTGGGTTTTTTTTCAGATCACTGAAAATAGCAGAATGAGGACTTGAAGTAAATAATAACCTAGATCTCTTCAGGCAATAGCTGGGGAAACCTCAGGCTTCAAGCACTAGAATAATGGGCAGGTCTCTGTCCTACTCTTCAGTCTGAATGCTTGTGACCTTAAAAAATTTGATTTACTTTCCCCCTGCACTTATAGGCAAGAAGTTAAGGCAAATGAATATGCAAGGCAGAGACAGGCAAGATGCTCCTATATGAGCATCTTCAGTTGACAAGTAATATGCAGGTGTACTGAGGCCTGCATCTGACAGAGGCCTCCATCTGGAGGCTATTTCTACTGCCACACACTTCAGAAAGAAATCTCAGGGCTAGAAAGGGACCTGTGAAACTATATCAACTTCCTGCACCTGGAAACAACTCCATTAGTTGCTTTCAGGGAATGAACTGACAATCATTTGTCAGCAGGCTGAACCACTGGAGAAGAACCTGCTAGCAGAGCTTTTTTTACTACAGGAAAAAAAGAATCAAGAAAAGTACTTTCCCAGGAAGTGAAAGAAACAGAAATTTCCTGTGCCACTAAACATGGTGCTCTTGTTTATGTGTCTGAAGGAAATGGGGAAGTTGCCCTGATAGACCTAAAAAAAATCTGTGGTAAGAGACATGTTTCTCTTCTATATTTGACTTTCAGTCTCTTAATCTTCATTCCAGAGGGCTGTGTGTACCCTGGCTAATAAGCTGACAGTTAGGGGATACAGCACCTAATTTGTTCTTGCTGATCAGGGCTGGATAAAGCCAAGAGGTCCACTGTAAGCCAGGGAGTTATATAAGCACAATGCAAACAGCCATCAAGGAGTGGTGCCAGCTGTTCATCTTATATACTCCAACCATTTTACCTTCAACCTGCATTTCCAAGAAGAGGATGAAATAATTCTGCCCTTTCAACTCTTAAGCAGATAGCATTTTCCTGTTCACAATGTCATGAGGCTCAGAAATAGCAGAGTGCAGGAAGGGGCAAAAATCCTATTCATGAACCTCGCCTATTACAGGAAAGGACAATGCATTTTGTTCCCTCAATGACTTCACTGATACATTGTAAAAAAAAATCTTCCTAAGGCAACTGAGCTGCCTTAGCTACCGGACAATGCAAGATCTTCCCAATAAGTCTTCAACTAATAACTCTTCCTTGCAACTTGAACTAATTAGTCCAACAATTGATATCTTCACAGTTTCCCAAAAGCTAGGAATCATAGAATAGTTTGAGTTGGAAAGGACCTTAAAATAATTTTTTTCCAACCCCATCTGTCATGGGCTGGGACACACATCACTAGATCAGGTTGCTCAGAGCCCCATCCAACCTGGCCTTGAACACTATAAGAGATGGGGCCTCCACAACTTCTCTGGGTAACCTGTTCCAGTGCCTCACCACCCTCACAGCAAAGAATTTCTTCCTACTATCTAATCTAAATCTACTCTCTTTCAGCTTGAGGTCATTCCCCCTTGTTCTGTCACTGCATGCTCTTGAAAAAGTTTCTCTCCATGTTTCTTATGGACTCCCTTCAGGTACTGGAAGGCCACAATTAAGTCATCCCAAAGTCTTCTCTTTTGGAGGCTAAAGAATTCCAATTCTCTCTGCCTT